TTTTTATATTAATAAGTTCGGATACCTGATTTTGAATACTTGAAGCCATAGACTATCACTCTTTTCTTTCGATAGGCGCGAATTTTTTAACTTAAATTTATCGCTAAAGTTTTAGTTCCTCTGATGGCACATCCGGCGATACTTCGAAGTCACCTCCGAAAATGTCTCGGCGTTACTGACTACAAAGTTTCAGTTCCTTCTGAGGCACATCCGGGCTTACGAGGTTAAAGTAAATTAACTTGTTAATATTTACTTAACCAGAACGAAAAAGGCGAAGAAATTTTGTAGAAAGATCTTTTAACAGAGATTCTATCTGCAACGTGAAAATATAATGCTTTACTCAGTCAACAGTTAAGTACAGGCTTCAGTTCAATTGTCAGAATAGCATGCTCAGTAGGTCTCGACAAAATTTTAATTTAATTGCTTATATTAAGTCATCTTGTTTACAAAGACTAAATCTTGAAAAAAAATAACAACAACCTAGTTCAGAAGCTAGTGACTAAATTAACATACTTAAATACAAAGTCATCCTCATGATTCACCACATAAACATTTCTTCCTTGTGGGGTTTGTCCCAAGGAAGCTGATAGATAGTTTTGAACCAACAGAACAGATGGTATCAGCAGACTTACTATTAGGGTGATTTTATTAGTTTTCTATTGATGACATAAATATTTGTTTGAACAATATTGTGGCTGTGTGGTATTCATTATGTACACAGACATTTACTTGTACACTGCTTGTTGAATCTTATCAGCTTGAGTCAACAGCTTGAAAGTGTGCATGTGATGTCAAATGTCACATGGAAAATAAGAACTCATATTTATTAAAAACAGATGTGTTTTGTCTGTATATTGAATAACTTATGGCAGTTACTATCTGCTAACTCATGAATTGCAAATATTTATGTGCCCAAAATAATACATTGTAATTCAAATATTTTCTGAAATACCTACTAGAATATGAATCTGAAGGGATAACTATGTAATTAAATACCTAATAGGAAAGAGGAAAAATGCCAAAAAACTAACTTGCTTATGGTCTCTCTGATGTTTTTTAGGCAAACTAGTTGCTCAGTAGCTACAAAAGATGCAGTTGAAATTGTGAAGAGCAGGGTCACAGATTTGCCAGTTTGAGAACCGAATACAATACGAGACGATGCATTCTACAAAGATTCGGGGAAAGATCGGCGAAACTTATCGAAACTCAAGATTTGTCGACGATAAGTTATGGGTGCGGCCGTGAGATGAGATCGAAAAAGTCAGCCTTAGCATACCTAACAGCAGGAGCTTGATATCTTTAGAAGCCTGAATGCCATCCTCTTTCAGGTTCCTCTCGATCTGTCGGCTGCGAGCGGCCGCCGCGCGCTCCTCGGCCGACTGGGCGCACCCCATGTCGGCAGCTGTGCCTGAGCCCGGTAGCCGGCCGCCCCGACTCCCCAGCCGGGCGCGCTCTCACCGCTCCCTCTGCATGCGCTCCACACGCGTCCTGCCGCTCCGGACCGACCGGAGCCACCCTATACAAAGTTAGCACCCAACACAGTAACCTAACTGTACCACTGACACTCTTCAAACGTATCCAAAATCACTTTGAAAGCGGAAAAACGAACACTCTTCCTGAATCACTGCGGTACTGTACCACATTCAGCACTGAAAACGCGTAACGACAGCGCGAATTTTAATTGATTTTACGAATCCGTTCAAATACGAGGTAATGGCGGCCGGATGACAAGCGCCAGCTACACTCCGTGACGGCGACCGCGCCCCGCTCGACTGACGTTCGGGCGGGATCGGTTCTCTTCGTTCGGCCTCGCTCACACATGCGTGAAAGCAGATTCACACACGAAAGAGAACAAAAGTTGCGCTAAAATCTCTGGTTGAAGGGAACCAAAGATAATTTTATGGATTCAAAATTGATTTTTGAAATATTTTTTGCATTAATTGAAGTTGAACCAGTTTTAATTTTAAAAAATTATAAGATATGTTTTAGACTCGATATTGGTAAATAAATATGAATTTCACCGATATTTTTTTCTATCCTTTCAGTAAGACCATGCGTTTGATTTCAAAACACACAATTTAACGTTCGGAAAATAAGTTCAATTTTTGTATGTAAATTAATTGATGACCTACGAAATTAATAATGAAATGAAAAAATATTTATTCAGTATGGATTCGGCTGGGGCACATATCTGTGGGCTGGGGTCTCCTTTTATGTAGGTAGGTATAATAATAATACCTCAGGAGGCCCCGCTCTTTCTTAAAATTACAAAGATACATAATGTTAATTTAATAGGTACACAAAGATAAATAAGTGAAGGTAGTTTCATTATTTACAATGTTTAATACAGCGATTACGCAGCGAATTACTTATCTCCATCGTTGATTAGGTAAGTACCGTACTACCTAGTTATATTCGTAGATTTAACTCCAAAACAAAAGATGACCAGCTTATAGTATTTAGAATAAGTATTTGTAATGACCTAATAATTAGGGTGAAATGATACTGTCATTAAATTTCCTGTAGATATCAGAGTACATAGTTCCAAAATATTATTGGCAATGCGGTGGAGACAAGAGAAGATATTAACTACTTTGAAGCTTAAAAGTTTTATCAGGTTTTATTACATGCACTCTTTCGTCAACACTATTAATAAAAGAGTGCGAGCACAGCCTTAACCACAGAGCACGTATGGCCTAGACTATGTGACAGATTCATTTGCGTGATCGCTTCACTACGTCTTCTTTGGGTACCTAAAAGGGGGTTCCCGGGTATAGCCTACAGTCCTACACAACAGTGGGTCTAGACAAAGTGCAAATTATAATCGCAAACCAGTCGATAAGTGGTCGAAAAGCCCCTTTTTTGTATGGAGTTTTGACGGATTCGATTTTCGATTCGATCAAAAAGTGCGTTTTGTCTAGGGGGGCAGTTATACACTGATGTAAGTTTGTCGGTCTATCAGCGGACGGTATACAATAGATAGGGTATACCCTGTAGTAGCACTGTAGGTAGAGGGTAGAGTAAGGTGTTACACTAAAGCTATGATGTAATTTTCACAGAATGTGGCTTATTTACAACTATAACCACCATAAAAAATTAAAAGGGGAACATACCATACAAGTATACAAGTACCTACTTTTTTGTCCAATTTTAATAATACCAATAGGAAACTAAATTTTCTAGGATGGTAACGGTGGTAATTAATGGTAAAGGAACCCTTCGTCTACACGAGGATACCATTAAATAAGTTAGCGAATTTTTCTATTTCTAGGCACTGGGTCAACAGTGTTGGTTAAAGTAACAATACATATTATGCATAAATGCCATACCTAGGTTCCCAAACAAGGATTACCAAAAAAGATAAATTTCGAACTCTAATCTAGGTAAGTGTAGGTAGGTACGATGCTATTCGATTTGCCTCGCGCGCGATACTTTGTCCAAGACGTATGGACTGAGTTTTTATCAGAAATTAGTTCCTTTCAGTGTAAGTAGCTGATCGGTTGATGCGATAGCTTAGATGTAAATAAGCGTGTAACAACCTATTACTTACAACAATACAAATAAATAATACGTGTTCGGTTATTTTTAAATTAACGGATTTTAACCACTTTTAATTCTTGTCAATTATGTCAATCATACTTTCATGAAACTTGGTTTTTAGTACTTTCAGCGACACAGCTCTATCAAACATAGGTAGGATGTAAGATACGAGTAAATAATTATAATACAAGTTTATTGGGTAATAAATTATTGTAGAGTAGGTACCTAGCTACCCAATAAAAAGAAGCAACATACAATTTAAATTACCTAGCTATACATTACCAGCTACCTACCTACCCACCTACTTTGTAGCGCTCATCATCAACATCATCCAAGTTTATTACTCCATCAACAAGTGTCGGAATCTTAAACCAATCTTTCGCTTTCTCTTTACATAAGTACTTAGATGTTTTCTAGATTTATAGAGCGATCGAATTGAGAATCCAAGAAAAGGAGGATCGCGGACGACGGACTTTCCAATAAAATATTATAACTGCAGGAAGTCGACTATTTACTTCAATGATGAATTTTTCAAATGTCTACGTTTAGAGAGAGAGAGATCTACGTTAGAGATACGTATTGATTATGATATTGAATAAACGAGCCAAATAGACGGGAGTGCAAAATATTTCCTGCTAGGCCTACCCTATAAGTAGGAATAAGTTTTGTAGAGGACGATACTGCCAAAGATAAATGCGTAGTTATAATCTTGTATTACCGGCTTATCTTACTTGAAAACCACAACCACAGACGCTATTGACATTTGAGCTTATCCTCAAGATCGATAAACAACAGCCTTCATTTAACTAAAAATGTCTTCATCAACACGAATGATGGTAGGTATGGCCCTATCTTATTATTTCAGCTCAAATGGACGAAAAATCTTTCTAGTGTCCTTGTTGCATGAGGCTGAGGTATAGTGATTCTTAACTAGGTATGTGTTAATTAAGGTCATAATGTAACTCCTACATCTCAAATTGTTAATTATTATTGTGTTATTTTATCCATTGTTGTACCTATCTATCTAGGTAGGCCATATCAAAAGCCCATGTCAGCGTGTCGCATCCCAACTAATATTATAAATGCGAAAGTAACTCTGTCTGTCTGTCTGTCTGTCTGTCTGTCTGTCTGTCTGTCTGTCTGTTACGCTTTCCCGCTTAAACCTCGCAACCGATTTTGATGAAATTTGGCATAGAGATAGTTTGAGTCCCGGGAAAGAACATAGGATAGTTTTTATCCCGGTTTTTGAAACAGGGACGCGCGCGATAAAGTTTTTCTGTGACAGACAAAATTCCACGCGGGCGAAGCCGCGGGCGGAAAGCTAGTAGTTTATAAAGGGAGCCGATACCGGCACGAACGAGCGTCACCGTCACCGCACGCCGCGCGGCAGTCGATAGAGCTGCAACCGGGGTGCGCGCGCACCTCGACCGCTAGATAAAGAGAGAGGAAAGCTCCATTACCAAGGAGCAGCAGCTTGATGTCCTTGGCGGCCTGGATGCCATCCTCCTTCAGGTTCTTCTCGATCTGCTTGCTGCGCGCGATGGCGGCGCGCTCCTCGGCGGACGAGGCGCAGCCCATGGCGATAGCGCGCACGGCCTGGCTCGCTACGCGCGGCAGCGCCGTGCCCCTCGCATGCTCGCGGCCCGTCGTCGCGCGCAGGAGGCTCCGCGCACGCGCTCGCTCGCGCACGCGTGCCCGGGTCCGGTCGGGGAGCGCTCCGGCGCCACGTCACCACCAGGTGCGGCTGACGGCTTCGGCTCTGGCGAGCGACCGGCGAGCTCGGGACCGGGGCCGACTGAACGAGTGGAGCCGCGGCGTGGGCCCGCGAACGAATGACGGATCGCGCAGCGATGACGCGCCGCACGCAATGCGCACGCTCGCCGCCTCCGCCGCCGCGGGCCGCCCAACGCCTCCCTACACCTCGTTTGCACTTGCTTGCCGAGCCACCGTATGATCGGGTGCCGACCGCCTCCAACCAATGTTAATAGCTTCGGTCAATGTAATCCTGATACTTGGCATGCATTGTGTTGTGCACATCTGCTGCTAGTAGATTCAACTGGTTGTAGAGCACGTTGGTAGAAACTTCCAAGACTCCCTAAAACCAGCTGCTTGCCTGTTCGTGATTGTAATGTCTATTTTTATGAGCACCATTTAATACGCAGCGTCAGCTAGCTAGCCTAGGTGTTTAATTGAGATGATTGACTTAAAGCTTGAAGTCTCGTCACAAAGACTACTTAGGTACTACTCGTCAGAAACGGATATATTTTTAGTACTTATCCTATCAAAGTATCAATTTTATTAATCTCTGGAACAAATTATATGTAATATTTAAAATCAACACAACACAATGTTTAATAACGCCCTTCGTCAGCAATGAACGAACGATAGTGCTTGTTACACTAAGTAGAGTAACACCCCGTATTCACAAACATTACTATGAGGTCTCGACACACGAACCAGTCACAGAGCTCTACTCAACGCTATGCGTTCGATTTGATTCTTCACTTAAGCAAGCATCGTTTGTGAATTCGGGCGTAAGAGCAAACGTTATACTTAGTAGTTAGTCATCAAATTCCTACTTATTTCGGAAAATCTTAAATTTGTCCTCCTCGGGATCGTTCTTCTTCATCCAAAATGTTTTTAAATCGGGATACAGACTGAAGTATGAAGGCTGTACATAAATAAGCCATCAACATCATCATCATCTCAGCCATAGGACGTCCAATGCTGAATTACATTAGGCCTCTCCCAATGATTTCCGTTTCCATGTTGCCCGGTTGGTAGCGGCCTGCGTCCAGCGCCTTCCTGCTACCTTTATGATGTCGTCGGTTCACCTTGTGGGTAGACGTTCCACGCTGCGTTTTCCGGTACGCGGTACATAAATGAGTACCTATAGTTAAACTTACACCTAAGTAACTACGTATAAAGTTCGGCACTAGTGTGAACTTCCCTTTATCTTTTCCTCGTGCTATTCTGACGAACAAAGGACGTGCAATAATTGCAATCGCGTGCGGTAGACGTTCGTGCAAGGCAGGATTGGCATTTAATTAAATATGGCCTATTAAATCAGAATATAACTGTTCATATAAAGGCTAAAAAGAGTATTTTGGATCGCAGCTACTACACATGGGCTGCTGTTACCTATCACGTCTCGTTCTCACTGCAACTCTTATACAGGATGACTGGTAATTAGTGCTAAACTGTCCTTATTTATGTTTTTGTTGAGCAGGTTTTGCAAGGTTTTGCATAAAAGAATGACAGTTACTTATGAAGATTTAACAATTAAACATTACTTATTTAGAATTATCTTTGTTGCAAAACAAAACAAAGTAGACCAAAATGGCATTTTTTTTAGGATTTATTACTATTTGAAAATTTTTTGGGTACACTCTAAGTAGGAATATCTTGGAAAGCGTTAAATAAGGACGGTAGGTCTCATAGTGATATCTGTCGGAATAACCCTAGACTACCTCCCCTTAACGGCTCCGCCACTAATTACCAGTCACCCTGTATAAAGTATCTGAGGTCCAGTACCAGTGAAGGTTACGTAATCCCGGTTCTTGGAACAGTTGAAACTTGTAACCCATAAAAAATAGGTATACAGGGTGGAATTTTATAATGCCACATCTTTGAATGCAGTTCTATTTCTTTTCAAAAATAAATAAATGTTCTCTTTGACCACAATTTTGTATCTACAGTATTAAGAGTACTTTCCCTCAAAATTTCACCCTGTATTAGTCAGTCAACTTTGTTCGTCTACGCATGCATGGTATATGTTTAATGCACAAGGGGTAGACTTAATGCTAAAAGCATTCTCCGCCAGTTAACCTTTGGGTCTTGCAGAAAGCTGTGTGTGCGGTGCAGGTTTTTAACCGATTTAATATAGATACCAATATTATAATTTAAGTGATCTGTTTGTGTACCTAATAAAAAATACATTTAAAATATATACCTAGTTTGATCTGATAGAATAACATTTCAACGAGACGGGAAGCCAATCAATGGTGTCTCCTTGGGTTAGTGTTGAGCTAATTACTCGAAGCTATGACTTTTTCATTCGATAAATACTAGCTCCAGCACATCTGTGAGCTCCAGCCAGCCTTTATGCTCTATGGAATTTTTAATTTTATGCTGCTTTTACACTGCGCGGAAATTAATGAATGAATTTCATCCCCACTCCTCTGTTTTTTTTACTTGACTCGGCTAATTTCCGCATAGTGTAAATCGAGCATCTGTTTAATAAAAAAAGCAGTTGCTTAACATTTTTTTTGTGGCCTGAAAGACTTATACCCAGAGCCGTAAAAAACTATATATAAAAAAAGTTGCTTGACGTTTTGACAGGACATGTCATTTGTCAGTGTCAAAAGAAAACACCGGGATGACGCACCGCACATAAACAAAAAATAATCTAAACAAGTTGTTTTAATTTTATTTTAAAGGTTTGTACACATTTCATAAATTTCATTTAACCACCGGCCTTTTGAGAAATATCTTTAGAATTAAAACTAGTTAAAGTATGCATGCACTCGTACCGGGTAGGTGAAACAAAGCTTATGTACAGACGTAATTTATTCCAGAAAGGGGAACGAAATGGACTCAGACGAAGAAAATGAAGAATTCCAGTCCTGGAAAGGAGTTCCAGGTGTGGTGGTGCTGATAAATGCCTACAACCCTTTGAACACGGAAAGCCCTACGATCAGTCATGTCGCGACTTGTCAGATGATGAGGCAGCATTTACGGCTCGCCAGTAACCATTACATTGGGGTTTGTCTCTATGGGACAGCTGACTCTGAGACGGCCAGCTTCGGCCTAGAAAATGTTACTGAGATTTGTCCTTTAAATTTGCCCAACTTGGATGATTATAAAAAACTTCAGAGCATTAATGTTTCTTCATACGGCCAAGCAAAAGAATTAAAGTTGTCAGATGCGCTGTGGCATTGTAGCAAAATGTTTACCAACTGCAAAAAACTATTACTGTCACGCACTATACTAATGCTAACTAGATTGGATTCACCACCAGTTGAGTCAGACCACAGGGCCACTTATATAAGGGTGTCAGACCTAGTGGAGTCGAATATTGAAATCAAAATAATAAATGTTGCCACTGAAGATGTGGCTTCAGATAACTTTTATAAGAACTTTATTTCTGAAGCAAACAGTGGAAAAGAAGTGGCAGTGCCCAAACCTATTTCAGATTGTAAGGAGATCGAAAACATGATGTTTCGGCAATCCTGTAGACACTTGACACTTGCTCGTTTGAGTTTTGAAATTGGAAATGGAGTAGCAATTGGAGTTGGTGTATACAGTTTATTAAAGAGTACTGGTTACGTTAAAAATGTAAACTTGGATAGAGATACTAATGCTATTCTAACAAGTGCTACAAAAACAGTGAAAGTATTCAAAGAAGAGAAAAATTCAAATGGTGCACCAATGGACGTTGATGATGCTGAAAGTGAGCCAAAACAGCTTCCTGTGTTGAGATCAGAGTTGATACACTATCAAGAATATGGAGGGGATAGGATTGAGATTTCAGACAAGGAAAAGAAAATGTTGAGCAATCCATTTGGTCCACCCATGATGAAATTACTTGGTTTCAAACCAATTGGAGTTATTTGTAAGGAGAAGTGGTTTTTGAAAGCTGGTTACTTTTTATATCCCAATGAGGGGATCATTGAAGGGTCCACTGTAGCATTTAGGGCCTTGCACCAAGCCTGTTTGGAAATGAAAGTCGTTGCTATCTGTGTCTTATGTACCAGAGTAAACTCCAGGCCAAATATTGTTGCTCTTTCACCATGCAGTCGCCCTCTAGGGTTGAATGCAGAGATTGGATTTGATGTCATCAAAATACCTTTCATCGAGAGTGTAAGACAAATTCCTGTTGAGGACGATGAAGACAATATTGACATTTCAGAAGCACACAGAAGAACTATGAAAGACATTGTGAACACTTTGAAATTTGATTACAAACCAGAAATGTTTGAAAATCCAAAACTTCAGTCTCAGTATAGAGCTGTAGAAGCAATAGCTTTAGCTGAAGAAGATAGTGAACCTTTTGTGGACACAACCAAACCTGATCCAGCAAAATTTCAAGGACTTGATGAAGAATTGTTTGAGGAAATATTTGGTCCATTTGGAGCAGTCGCTAAAAGGCCTGCAGCAAGAGAAACTACTGTAGGTAGTAAAAAAGCAAAATTTGATGGGGAAATTGATGAAGGTTTGTTGCAAAATCGAGTCAGTGATAAGAAAGTTAATTTGTATACTGTTGAACAGTTGAAGAACATTTTACGATGGAAGAACAATCCAAACCTGCCAGCTTTAACTGGCTTGAAGAAGAATGACTTGGTCAATTTAGTCTATGAGTATTGTTCATAAGTTATTGTTTTGCATGTCATCAAAGAGTGGCTATTTTTGTATTAAATAAATCAAAAGTTTACCACAACAACTACTTTTATTTTTGATGAGAAGTTTACAATTACAATAAATAGTTATGCTACAATTAATTATACAAAGAACCATCAGCAGGGCCTAAATGATGGATACCAATGAGTAAGGCATCCACTAAAGTCCATACACCCAGTCCACCAAAGCTAAAGAGTTTTCCAATGCCTTCCTGCCAGTGACCTAGGTAGAAACGGTCAGCACCAAAGCCACCTAGAGTCAAGGCAAGAATTAATGCAGTGCCCCATCTAGTTCCAGCTGTCCAAGAGCACCTGATCTTCTTTAGAAATGTTCTATGACCTAAACATATTACATCATCTGAAACTGTGCAGTTGGTCCTGAAAAAGAAAAAATGTAAACAACATTTTCAAAGAGAAAGAAGAAATGTTTATTTAGTACCAAAGAAAAAATATAACTAAATTTTGATAACAAAAGAAAGAGCTCTTAATAATTATGTAAAACTTACATGTAATATGTTAGTGGTGAAGCAACTGAGTTGCAATTTGCTTTCTGGTCACACCTGTGTTCCCACTTATCAGTTTGATAGCAAAATCTACACATAGCTGTTCTGTTGAATGTTTTACTGCCCTGCAAATATGATAAGTTTATTAATGTTACAAAATATTAGAAAAAGTTGTCAATTTTGTGCAGCATTTTAAAAGTAGGCAAACTTACATTACAAATTACTTTAGGTTTTACAACACATTTGTAGTCGGAAAAGCCACCATAACGACAATCTATACTTCGGTTGCAGGAGATACAAGGATATTGTAAGGTGGAACACAAGGAAATATTCTTTTGGTCTAAAGCAGATGGACAACTTTTTAAATAATCCTCATTTTCGCTGAAGCTTAACATCTTATCATTGGAATCATCCTTTACTTTGTTCTCTTTGTTGGGAATATTATTATTTGCTGTAAATAAACATAATTGGATATAATTTAAGAGTTAAATTCACGAATCAATAACTTGAGCACTTTCGCAGATATTAACTCACCCATGTCAGTTATGTGAATTGTATTGAATATAACTAAAAGAACTAAAACTAAACAATCTCTAATAGTAATTCTAAGCGGTAAAATCCTCGGCATTTTAACAAATTTTTATTACATTTTTGTGTTATGATTTTGCAAACACGAAAATAATCACATATGACAGTAAACGTCAACAGTCACTTTATTTTACCGTCAGGTCGGTAATCAAAGACAAATTAATGAGAATAACGTTGTGTCAATCATGAAGCTACAGATAAAATGGAGGCCACACTCCAAATACCTACTTGAAGCACAAACTAAGTATCACTATCTCGCTCTCTGTGGGCAGACTCGCTCTTTCTAAATAAACAAAAAATATAAAATTGCTCAAATTCAATGAAACCAATGTAAAATCTTTATTTCTTGACATAGGTATCATTAAAAATTATAAGTGTAATTACTGGTAAAACGTTTTAGGAAGAAATTACTTTAAAAAATGTGAAAAATGTTTACAATGATCCAATGTCGGAAATCACGAAATAAACACTTACGCGTGGAATCTTATGTCACTTCCAGGACACCACGTACTACCGCAACCACGCTACAAAATTTTGCACCAATTCTTGTGATAAAACAATGATTATTTCCTATAAANTCAGCTAGTTGGATATAATTTAAGAGTTAAATTCACGAATCAATAACTTGAGCACTTTCGCAGATATTAACTCACCCATGTCAGTTATGTGAATTGTATTGAATATAACTAAAAGAACTAAAACTAAACAATCTCTAATAGTAATTCTAAGCGGTAAAATCCTCGGCATTTTAACAAATTTTTATTACATTTTTGTGTTATGATTTTGCAAACACGAAAATAATCACATATGACAGTAAACGTCAACAGTCACTTTATTTTACTGTCAGGTCGGTAATCAAAGACAAATTAATGAGAATAACGTTGTGTCAATCTTTAGCTTCATGGTGTCCATATCTGTGATGGTGTCAATGCTGTGTAAATGCCAAATTGACAAATAAAAACAACTTGTTTATACATTTTTGTTTATGGTTAACCTCTTACGGACGGAACAAATTCGAATTGTTTGTTTTGTTTATAATTCATTAGATTAAAATGAAAGACGTGATAGATGTAATGGCTCTGCAGAGCAATCGACGCGAAAGACGTTTACCCGACTATCGTAGTGCACCTGGACACAGCTTGGCAACAAATTTCATTTTTGAATGTGGAATCAAACTTGGCTTGCAACCGGCCACAGTCGCCACTGCTGCTATATTTTATCACAAGTTCTTCAAAGAAGCTGATAAAAATGACTACGACTGTTACGTTATATGCACTGCTTGCCTCTGTGCTGCTGGAAAATCGAGAGACGAACCAGTAAGATTGCGAGACGCTGTCAATGTTGCCCATAACTCCATCAATCGTGGAGCTGGTCCATTGGAACTCGGTGAAGAGTATTGGTCTTGGCGAGGTGCTGTAGCTCAGGCGGAATTACTTGTGCTTAGATTATTGGGGTTCAACTTGGACGCTCCATCTCCGCATCGATACTTGTTACATTATCTTCGTTCCCTGCAAGAATGGTTCCCCTCTACTCAATGGCGGTCAGCTCCTGTTGCCCGTACAGCAATGGCGTTCTTGCAAGACTTCCATCATTCTCCTAATGTGTTGGATTACCGAGCACCACACATTGCTGTAGCTTGTTTGACCCTGGCCCTACATGTTTTGGGAGTTTCTGTTCCCTTAGCTGCCACATTAGACGATGATGCGGCCTGGTATTCAGTAAGTATTTTGTGTGAATGTCTTCAATTAGAATTTAGAATGTCTATGATGGAGCAGTCTTATTATTGTTATTTTTCTAAACATTTTTAACCGTTTTTTGTTTTACAGGTGTTCACCAAAGATTTGCAGAAAGAGAAGAATTGGGAAATAATGGAGAAGATTATGCAAGTTTATAGCAGAGAACCAGAACCAATATAAATGGATGGACTGGATTTAGTTAATAATTTAATTGTAAGGAATTTCAATAAATAACTTTTACACTATTCTTGTGTTTTTACTGCTATTGGCAACTTAGTTCAAGCTCCAACCATCATACTTCCTATCCTACTACTAATGTAAAACATTGAGAAGACGCATGTTTTACTCTCATGCAAAACTACTGAATGGATTTTGATGAAACTACATTATTGGTTTAAACAGCACATTGTTTTGATAAAATGGTAACAATAAGCTAACATCCTACTCCCAATTATTCCATGAAGTTTTTGTTTAAAAAATTAAATTTCTTTCAAAAATTATTTACCCTATAAAATAATTATCGCAAAAATGTTTGAAGGACTTTGGGATAAGATTTTTATGTGGTGTGTTATGTAGGTACCTACCTATCTGGTTTTCCAATGTTAAAATTGTAGCTATGTATGAAAGCAATCACCACTGCAATGTTAGTGTGGACAACATGCTATTGCAGATATTTAACAAGACTATTTACATCAGGATAAAGTACATATCGTCACCGTCGTGGCAGAATTAAATAACTGACAAAACCAAAGTTGCGAGATATTCACGTTTTTGTGTTTTTTTTCGTTAAAAATGGCGATAACTTTTAAGGGTAAAAATATTTTATTGTCGGTCTTTTGATATTTTATACAGCAAATTTACCTTTATTAATTCAATATTCTTCGATGATGTTACTTTGTATTATTATAAATAAAAAAAATAAAAATGTAATTATTTACTTCTGCCACAACCGTATTTTACAACTAAGTTGCAGTTATTTAGTTTTTATATGTCACTTATTTAGTTTTGCCACAACCAAGGTATTACAAAAACGAATATTTCCATTGAATAAGTACACTTGTTTAATTTTGCCACACTTTTATAAACCTAAATGTTGATTTATTCATTTTATTCTATTTTTTTGTTAATGCGATTTTAGTCAAAATCTGTAAAATCGTTAAATAATACTAGAATATACCTACTTATTTAATACTTATTAAATAAGTAGGTAGGTACTGTTTAACAAATTGGTATGGTAACCATCAACATCAGATTCCTATAACATTGAAATTAAATTGAAAGAACCAACATCAAAATGAATATCAAAATTAAAATAATCCAAAAACAATAAAACTGTAATAGGGATCTCTCCCTAGGGATCCATAGGGATCCCTTACCCTCAACGTCATGGCAGAACGACGTTCAATGTCACTGCAGATCGATCTCCGATGACGCTAAGGCACATCGGCAGCTCAATAGACAGATATGGAAGTCCATGCGACATGATGTTCGCAACTTTAATACAAATAGTATTAAAGAGGCGATAGAGCGGAACCAAGGCTCAAAAGTATTCATAAGAGACAACTCTATTGGGCGAAGCTAGCTGACGAAGCTGAAGACTGCGGAAGGTGGTGTAACGTCAAAAAAAGCCGAGGTTCTAGGTGAGATTGAAAAGTTTTACGGAAAGCTATATACCTCGACGAAGATATTGTGGATATCAGCATTATCAGCCTATACGAGATTAGGATGGCTCTCAAACACCTAAAGAACAACAAGGTACCGGGTCATGACGGAATAACCTCGGAGCTTCTGAACATTGAAGGCAAGTCCTTCAGAGACCATTTAAATTCGTCTTACTCCAGGGAACAACGCCAGAGGCATAGAATAGAAGCGTGGTACTCTTCTTCAAGATAGGGGATAAAACCTTGCTGAAGAATTACTGACCCATCTCGCTTCTGAGTCATGTCTACAAGCTGTTTTCGAAAGTTATCACGAATGATCTCGCGCGTAGGTTCGATGACTTCCAGCCTCCCGAACAAGCCGGTTTCTGAAAAGTATCGGTACATATCGAGGTGCTGAAGTGCTTGTACAGAAACGCCACCATGTTGGTCCGAGTACAGGAGTGGAGTACGAGGGCGATTCCTCTGCAGCGAGGCGTGATGGAGATGTTATATCTCCGGATCTCCGAAACTATTCACCGCTGCATTGGAAGACGCTTTCAAACTCCTTGAATAGAAAGGATTCGGCACAAACATCAACGACGAGTACATCAATTACCTTCGGTTTGCCGACGATATTGTGTGGTCATGGCAAAATCACTGGAAGACCTCGACACAATGCTCGAAGACCTTAATCTCCCAAAAGGTAGGCTTTCGGGTGAACAACATGGAAAAACGAAGCTTTTGTCGAATGTCTATGTTGCGCCCTACCCAGTTTCGGTTAGGAGCTCGAATCTCGAGATTGTTGACAAGTATGTACAAATGTATGTATGTACCTCGGACAAACGTTTCAGCTAGGTAGAGAAAGAGATCGAATCCATCTCGGCTGGGCAGCATTCGGGAAACTACACAACATCCTTTCGTCCAAAATATCTTAGTGCCTAAAGACGAAAATCTACAATCTGTATGTGTTACCACTGAAAACGGCTCGGGAACGCGGCCTCTTACTATAGGCCTTATAAATAAGCTCAAAGTTGCACAGCGTACTTTGAAGAGGGCTATGCTCAGTTTTTCTGTACAAGAGACAGGGCACATAGTACGCAGAACTGTCAGACGATGGGGCAGCAAGGTTCTGGAGTGGAGGGCACGTACCGGAAAGCACAACGTGGACTTCATAAAGGTAGCAGGAAAGCACTGGATGCAGACCGCTACCAGCCGGTCATATCGGAAATCATTGGGGGAGGCCTATGTTCGGCAGTGGACGTCCTATATGGCTGAAATGATGATGATGATGATGAAGGTAACTATCCAGATTCAACATCTGAGTAATGAACATTGAAATTAAAAGTAACATTTAAAGTAATGTTACAAAAATGAAATAAATAAAAAACACAATTGTACGAGTATTTTGAAGCAATGTTTCGGATTGAGTTGTGGCAAAATTAAATAAAGTCACTTATTGACTTTCTTAGTACAAGTATTTTGAAGCAATGTTTTGCATTGAGTTGTGGCAGAATTAAATAAAGTCACTTATTCAGTTTTACCACGTAAATTCTACAACAAACAGAGTTGTAATTTATGGTCAATAGTTTCACTAAACTGAAGATATCTTTGGAAATATCGTAAATATTGCCACGAGAGTAAGACCAAAATATAGGTAACACTTTCTGCTATACAAAAAGTGAAAAAAGTGATTTTTGCCAAAAGTGTCAGTTATTTAATTCTGCCACGACGGTGACGATATATTAATTCCTTCCATCCAGGGTATCTAGCTGTAACATAGTAGACCTAGCTAAACTATAACAATGGGTCAGGGATGGGAAAAGGAGAAAATAAACACCAATTAGATCTACAAACAAATATAATTCAGTTTTCTAACATTTTACGATACATAATTTTTATAAATGTACAGGGTAAGCTCATGACGTGGAAAAAGCGGTACTAGTTTTCAACTGGCTACCGGATGTATATGTGGTGCAATATATCTATAGACGTAGGAGGTAGCGGCTTCCCGCGCTGATATGCTTCCATCATGAAACAGGTATGACAGACAACTTACACCTAGTGTGAACGTGAAGAGACATGGCGTATATTTTATTCCAATGTGCTGTCAGGTTACAAATCTACGATAGACACCAATGACTAGTATAATTTATAAAAATTTACGCTAGGGATAAGCGTATTGAATTTTAATTTTACATCAGTATGCCAGATAGCGCTCCAGGGGGAGCCAGGAGCCAGCTGTGGATTCTGTGCGTCCCATGGAAGACAACAGAACGTGAACTCCTTCGAAATAGGTATCTAAACATTTGTGCTTCATTAAATTATTATTATAGGTACATTGCACGACAATCGGTCGATGATCGCCAATACAAAATGAATTTACACGTGTTAAATTTAAATAAGTTATTCCTACATTACAGATGGGTATAATAAGAATGCAAAAGTTTCTTAAACACCGTGTATAGCGAAATATATACCTTATGCTATGATTTAAAATCTATAAATAAATTCCACACAGACAAAATTTAACACATGATATTGTGAACGACATACATAGATAATGACAGTAAATATGTAGTTATTGCACGTACTATTAACTAGTGGGCTCAATACACCGGGACACACAGACATTCGGTGGACGCGACGCACCTCACCTGTACAATGTAACATCAACATTATACACGGAATATCAAACTGTAAATGTATCATAGAAAGGAGAACGTATCACACACCTAAGCGAATATGGACCGGTGAATACTCTACACAAATGTTGGCAATTTAGGACATTTAACACACTTCAAAATTTACTAGGTAAACATTTAATGTACTGATAAATTATGACACAAATAGAGTCCAAGTCAACAAGGGTATACAATAATCATGGAAAAGATGAACGAAATATATCGGCTTTCGGATTGATGCACTAAATACACATACCTCACAACACATTTCACAATTCACAAATAGAAAAGGCAGTTTTAAGTTAAACACGAGATTAACATTAGATTGTTAGTGAGAAAGATTTCTAAACATTTCCTGTTGATGTTTTGTATGAAATAGGCACTTGAAGTGAGAATCGTCATCGTAGAACGATGAAATGATAAAATCATATACAGATTTATTAACAAAAATTAAATTATTGAACTTGTCAACTGGCAACTAAGGAATGTATTAGCTACGTCAACCAAACGCTTAACGGGTAATGTCGGGTTAACAGAAGCAGCGAAGCAGGCCGGGACAGACAACACCGAACAGCAACGATCGAAACCGTTCGTCGATAACAGTGGCAGGTCATTAAAAATCATTAAAATTCAATTAATAGGTTAAAATTCTTTTAAATAAAAAGACAACATCGTCTATGGCAGCTGAAATAAATTTGTACATTTTTGTACATGGCGTCAAAACGTTACACCTCACCCCTCAGGATTTGACTATGCTCCATTAAATTTCCTAATCTACTAATATGTATTTTAAATTACAATAAGAAAATGACAAAAACTAACTACTACATAGTAAATATAGACTTAAATATTTAGCGCTACACATGATCTTTACGCATTCACCTACTTTGGCTGGATTCACAAACAAAGGTTGTAGATTTTTCTAATTTAAATAATACTGGGAAGTTCTACCTGAGGGTGGCACGGCCGATGCCGCGTGCCCGGCGACTACTGTACCATTCAGTTCAACACACCTCAGATCTATATGTAAACAGTAAGAGCAAACAAAACAATAGGAACTCTCTACAACAGAAAAAGCTTTTAAACGTAAAATAATTAAAAGATAACACAAAAAAATAATCCCTTTTCCTTAACAAAATTACTATGAAACATTCATTAAAAAAATATTCTCTGCAAAAAAATTAAATACAATTAAATATTAAAACAACTCCCCGGTGGTTGAGGGCCGGACGTGCCGAGTCATTCGACGTCGAGTGACCCTGCGCAACGTAACTACCATTAATTTGGCATTCAAAACTGCTTCACACGTAACACCTCCATATACATAAAATCGATAAAGTAATTAAAATTGCGTTCAAATAAATAAATAAAAATACAGTGAGTAGATTTTATCTAATCACGAAAATAAGACTACATACTTTACCTACAAGGTATATAAAATGTTGTATTGTTCAGAAAAGCCTGTGTCAGTGAATATCTTAAATTTAAGAAATGGCGACAGCTGTTGAAATATATCAGGACGCGTGCCCGACAATATTGCATTGTCACCTCTCACTACTAAGACATTTTTATGGTAATTTTTATGACTAATGCCTTTTACCCTCATTCCGTAAAATTCATATCATTCGTCGGGTGTTCGCGACGGCCGCACGAAACCGAACGATGTGACATTGTACGTAGAATCCTGCATGTCGATGTAAGAAGTTCCTTTTTTATGGCACTGTGTATGAGCAAGTTGAATTTGGTTCGTGAGGAACTAGTTTCGTGCGAGCGGTCGGTTCGAGACGCCACACACTCGAGCGTATATTTACATTTCTACTAAGGCATTTATCTATCTAATATAAGCGTATATTCGTACCAATGCAATATTATTGAGCGCTCGTACAATATTTTTGACCTTCCCTTTCGACGCGTAATCTGAGATATAACTACACTAAATATTAAATTATGTGATAAATTATCCACATGGCACTGTTTGATAAAAAGTCGTAAACCAATAGCGATACTAGATACCGTCGCGGTACGAATTAGTAGACACGAGAAGCCAAGTCAAAATAAATTAGAATTTAGTTAGCGACTGCTTGAGCGTAAAACAGTTTTAGTTAACTCCGGGAGATTATGCTGTTTTTGTTCTTGTTTATTGTATTAAATTAAATAGTTTCATAATACAAAATATACAGGAAGATTGCACATTAATGCGCAATGTAATAAAATATCTATAACAATAACAAAAAAATTAATAAATATCATCGAGAAAGTCTTCACTGAAATAGCATAAACATAGATATTTTAATTATGTTTTGCCATTGAAATAAAATTGGTTTGTTCATGCTATTTCAATAAACTCTAGCATACACCAGCATAATCTCAGTGCGAAGTCAAGGAAGGAACACAGTAAAAGAAGCCGAATTTCCATTAGGCAATTATTTGTTGTGGCAACACGAACCTTTTGTTGTCCGAATGACATAATTATATTGCAGTGATATTTTCACAACTTTGTCAAAGATGTTTTGGTGCCATAGACTGATTGTTTATAGCTAAGTTAGCAGTCAAATATTTTAATCAGGATTACAAAATCCTGTGAATGTCAAAATATGGTACTGATGAACTAAAACAATCAAGAGTAGGGAATCGTAAGATCAAATGCAAAGATCTGAGACAAAATTTGGAAATGAGCAGAGACAAAAAGTGTTGACAAAGTATTATCACTATTTTAAGCACACAGATCCATCTGTGTCAAAACCGTTCGTTTTTCACAACAAATAACGCCTAATGGAGATTCGTCTCGTGAATTTTAAATCGAGCCAGTAACTTGACATTTAAACTATAATCTAACAATAGGAATCATTGAAACGACATTTAAAATTTAACCACTACAACTTCTGTGCAACCTAGATCTACAGATCGAAAACCTAACCAGTGAGGGTTCAATACTCATGGGGACCTGCTGAAGCCAGCAGCGAAATTACAGCAGTCAAAACATCAAATTACTGTACCAAGTTAAAACCGATTAGAGCAGTGTCTCTTAACCTGTTGTCCTCGGACCAGTGGGGATGCACGAGTATATTAATTTATATGTCTGGAGTATCATTATTACATATTTTTTGTTACAATCACTCATAGAATTATAATGGCTAGAAATCGAGTAAGCGCAAGAAAAGAGAAGCACTTCAAACGGGACCAGTGGCTTATTATTATTCTGTCTAATGGCTTCAATGGTGCGTATTTGAAGCACACTGGTTTTGCCAAGTTTTTCCTTGAATTCTGACAGTTGACAAAGTCAAACAATAGTGAAAACTTTGTAAGATGACAATAATATTTTTGGTTCACTTTAGCCGAAGCGCATGTATGAAGACCATCTTAGGCGTTATTAATCTAAGCAAACATTAATCCTTCAAGCCCCGCGTATAGAGAAAATAGAAATCAATTGCTCGCGGTCTAATGCGCTCTTTTGGGGCTTGATGGGTTAAAAGAAAACTCGAAATTTACGTATTTCTGAAACATCCCGAAGATTCTCTTCTTTTTTAACTTAAAAACGGTGCACAAAATCCCAGTGAGTACTGAAACACATCCCGAAAATTTTTCCATTTTTAAACTCAAAACGGTGCTAATAACCCAGTGGTCAGTGGACTCAAAGTTAAGAGACTACATAAAGGTATAGGTATAGGATGAAGATTACTGGTCGCGGAAGGGCGTGGTGGGCGCTCATCGCACGTCGGTGAGGTTGCTCTTGTCGCCGAACAGCTTGACGAGCTGCTCCTCGTAGTCGTCGATGTTGCGCTTCATGATCTCCATGCACGGCCCGAGCAGGCGCTCGAAGGTTTCCACGTCGAGGACTGGTGGTGAGAATTTAAATTTTGTATTTATTATAGCATAAGATTATAGGGTTAGTATCTGCTCTGGCTGACTCTAAATGAAATGGGAAAAGGCGCAGAAGATCATAGAGTGGTTGGTATCACCAGGCAATTGGGGTATTTTTGTGGGCTGTCAAACTTGAGTATCTCTCTCATTGATTTTGTTTGGCAAAGGGAGACAATGACGTGACCAAGTTGCCAAGTTTATTAGAACTTCATTATAGGGAGTGGATATGGTGAGTACATAAATGAAAGAAAATGACTGATAGTATCTATTTATACAGCGAGTTTTGAACCAGCGACTAGAAAATCGCTGCGTGTATGTATATCAGTGATTTTTACAGGTAAGTCAGACCCGTTTCATCAATGCAGGGTTTCTTATCCCTTCTGGCATTATGTATTCAACATGGAAACATCTGAATCATAAGTGCCAAAATACTGGCCAAAATTGAATAAATGTTTTTGATTTGATTTGAAAACAAGCAACTTACAAGCAGCTTTGGTGGGTCCCACGGCGTAAGCAGAAGCAGCACGTGGCTTGTGGGTCACCAGCGCCAGCTCTCCGAAATAGCCTCCTTTGCCTGGAAAAAACAATTCAACTGTTAATTTTGTTCCCAGTTTTGTTTGGACATGTACCTATATCACCATGAGTTTGACAAGATATTCCATCAGGTGAAATGCAGACTGCAGTGGATTAAAAATATATGTGTGAGCGAGCCAGGTGAGGCGCGTTCGCTGTTGTGTGAGCGAGACAGTTGAGTTATAGAGCCCATGATTTCATTCTTGTTGCGGTTTCTTCATTTTCACACATTCTCGCCCTGCCGGATGATCAGCTCGCCGTCAGCTAGTGTGCGAGTGCGAGCAAGACAGTAGTTACCGAGCCCCTTGATCTCATTCTCGTTGCGTTCGACATTGTCGCCCTGCCGGATGATCAGCTCGCCGTCAGCTAGCGTGCGAGTGAGAGCGAGGCATTAGTTACCGAGCCGCTTGATCTCGTGCTCGTTGCCGTCGTCGCGCGTGATGCGGATGCTGACGGAGCCGTCCTCCACGAAGTACATGCCGTCAGCGGTGTCGCCCTGCCGGATGATCAGCTCGCCGTCGATCAGCGTGCGAGGCACCAGGGCGTCGGCCAAGTTGGCGCGTTCGTAAGGCTGTAACAAGCACAATGAATGTTGAATTTTAATTTTTAAAATGAATCTATATCTATAAAAGCGATAGGTCTCTGATTGACTGACTCACTCATCACAAAATCTCAGAAACTACAAGTGCTAGAAGTCTCAAATTAAATTTTGCATGGGGGTACCTTTTAGAACGTAGGTGCTCACTAAGACGGGATTTTGTAAAATTCAACTTCTAAGGAGGTAAATCGGGGTCCACGAGGTCGCGGGCGGCCATTATTATCATTTGTAAATATTGTCTCGTGTCATTGGCATTTTAAGTTTGCAAAAATCAATTTAACTACCTAAATACGACTAATAACTCAACATCCAATCAAAACATTAATTGATTTTGGTAACAAATGAAAATACCAGAATATTTTATAAAAACATCTTCATTTGGAGCATTTTTAGTCAGTTAAAGATAACATTATCTGTTGCATTGCAAGTGGAAACGGAACGCAAATAAAGTGAGTGAAAGGGATTGTCTTTTGAATAACGGCGTACGACCATTACGTGATAAGAATGAGAATTTTCTTTCTTTGCGCGGAAAACTAGGAAATACAGAAACAGCTGTGAAAATACCAAGTCTTTCAATTCCTGCATTACGCTCAAAGTTGCTCCTGTTATTCTAAAGCAAAAATAATATTTATTCGTACTCGGAAAGAATTCTATGCCAGGACAAACGGAGCCCCGAGACCAGACACATTCATAGTAAAAGTTAATCATAGATACAATAGCGAATATTGTTAAAATAACCAAAACATTTCATTCCTGCATATTCTTTATCTACCAGCTCCGTTTTTAGGTAATCGTTCATGACGTGTCGAGGAAGATACTCGTCTAATGATAGGCTATTTTCAGATTCGCGAGGCGTCATCATCTCAGTGAGTCGCGTTACCAACTCGTCAGTGTGACGTATTTACTATGATAAAAGATAACCGATAATTTGCCGGCCATCTCTCAGAAGGTCGAATTTATTATTCCTTGTCAATTTCCGCATAAAATGTCATGGTGTTACGCAGAGAAACCTCGTGAAATTCTCAAAAAAATGCTCGTAGCGACCCTAAAAGCTACTAACGCCCGTATTCAAAACGATGCTTGCTAAGTGAAGCAGCAAATCGAACGCACAGTTGAATAGAGCTCTGTGATTGGTTCGTGTGTCACCCTGTGCGTCTACGCGCACTGTGAGACCTCATAAGTAGTAATGTTTGTGAATACGGGCGATAGGTTCAAACTACACGCCTCAGTAATAACTTATTAATAGGTAAATGAAAACATGGATATTGCCTGCAGTCTTGATCGTAGTTGATACGCCTACTCAAACTAAAGGCCTAACTTATTTCAGTCAATGGAATTCTAAATCATCCTACACCCAATCGTTCCGGAAAAATACTGTTTTAAACATAAATGGAAACTACACTATTTCTGGTTCAATATGTAAAGTGCTTTGGTACATTAATGTTGCGTTTAATTCAGTAAAAGAGGAAAGAGATCCAATTAAGCGTGTATGTGTATCGAGTTAATTAAATCCTGGGGTAACATGGATTTTAATTAATAAACGCCGCGATGACTGCATGCGTTCGTGACGCGTTTAAAAGTGGCTAGATAATAGATTGGCGGTAACGCAATGGTGGCTAAATTAGAGACAAAGTTTTATATTTTTGCAGATTGAGTGGGACGAATGACGACGAATACCTAGTTTAGAATGAGATAGCATTTAATTCTCACCTCTGCTCTTTAATGAGATAGTTACGTAGAATCTAAAAGATAATTACAATATTTACCATTCACTTGTCTTGCTGTTGTGGACCATGTCTATTCATAAATATGATAAATATTATGAATTCATATCTCATATTAATTCTTAAAATACAAATGTGTGATCCCCGCGTGAATTTATCGTGATGTGGCCAAAGTTTAACATAATATACATAGCTCTAAATAAAAATACGATATAAGAACGCGTTGACATATTTTCATAGACTATCTGTAACCAATTCAAGGTTAATTACTTAATTGAGTAACATATTTATTTACCTACAATGTCATAAGTATACTTTGAGACTGTACATTGGTATTGTAGGCATCTGTGCCATACTAATACTATACAAGAGATACTTAAAATATACAACATACATAGTTTACTTGACTTATGCTCGTTTTCACCATCAATCCCTAATTTTGAAGTGACCCCTATGGTAACAAATAACAGGTATTTTGTTTTCATAGGGGTCACTTAAAAATTAGGGAATAATGGTGAAAACGGGCATTAAGGTCCTATGTCCCCTAGATGGGGCAGAGGGTGTCCACAACAGTCCTTAATCTCGCAATACATAGTTTAGGTGGAAGTATATTCTAAGCCGCTTATTGGGAATATTAGTGATTTTAATATCACAAATTACTAGTAATCTTCTTAAAAAATCAGTGCAGCACTGATTAGGTATACATTTTTAAAGTTTCGCACTAAAATGCTAGGACTCTAAAAATGGGGTAAGCTGTCTGTGAAAATCCAAATATGGACATAGGTGCTATATCAGCTGGTAAATTGATATTTTTGATGTGTTTTACCATAAAATTAGATTCTGATCATATGCAATGGTTTTTTACGTGAAAAGAAATAAATCACGATAATTTATTTTCCGAATCACACTTTGGACGTTATCTAATGACGTGTTTAATATAATTTACTTTATCACAACTTATCATCGCGCGTCTTGTACGTTTGATTGTTATCTGAATTAAAATGATTTATGTATTGCTATTACGAAAGTCGTAAGGTATTAAAAATGCGTATACGTTCTACGTTGGCGGTATAATCTTATCATTATTAGTACAATCTCAATGTTACTAACCGAGAACGGTAATCGGCTTCAGTACTTACAAAGGGTTATTGTAATCTTAGAGCATGGCTAATGGTGTGTGCAGATAAAAATGGACCTTAGATGACATAATTATCTATTGTTTTAAAACCGGTTTTAGTGTGAACTGAACTTAAGATTTTTCTATTCATATATTATGCACTGTGGTCAGCAGATAAACCTCTAATTTAGCACAAAGTGAGTGAATGAAGGAATATATTAGGAACTTATTTTTTCTTAAACTGGGTTGCACCATCCTACTTTAACAAACGTCAAAAATCTGTCAAACTCCATACAAAAAGCATCGATAATCGTTATAGTTACGGTCAAAGTTAGGTGGTGCAACTCAGCCTTAGAGATAAGGAGAAATATGAGATTTCTTTCAAATTAGCCTAACTAAAAAAAAATATTAAGCGGCTAAAAAGTATTAAGTTTAAATTTTACACACCACAGTAACCCCGCGTTGCTTGTACACACGTCTCATCAACCTAAACACTGTAGCATCTTAAGTAGTTGCAATAGGTGCGATTTTGCAACAAGAATGTATAGCTTAATAGTCCAGTAGAATTAGCTTTTAAATCGGAAATAATTCCTACAAAAGATTTTATTGTTTTAATGGCTTCATTGGTTGCCCATTAAGACTCTCCTAAGTTTTCGACNGAGAGTCTTAATGGGCAACCAATGAAGCCATTAAAGCAAAAAAATCTTTTGTAGGAATTATTTCCGATTTAATCAATTTTTGTGTTTAATTCTACTGGCCTATAAGTGCCGTCGACTGAGCATATCGATTGTTGTAAGTTCGGTAAAATTTTCGGGACGATGAGCATCGAGGCCAATCAGTCATGTATGAAAAAGTTGGGGGAGTGTGGATTATCAAGACTAGCGGCCGGCGTCACTTCCTGTAGGCTTACAAGTTTGCTACTAATATTTCCTAATAACGTTGTAATTATTTGGACATTTGGCCAAATAAAATAACGAACGCGATAGGGCAATTTTGCTTTGTATTATGTTTTACAAAGAATTTTATTGTTACTCACGTCTACGCTACGGGTTTTGATATTTAAAAGAACATTATATCTTAATGGACATTATACACTGTGTTATCAAGTCCAAACTATAACTGAGCAAGCCTTGTACAAGATTACTATAAAGGGATATAAACAGAAAAAAGATTTTTTGTGAATAAATTATACTACATCGAGTGAGAGTATCAAATTCCATGGCATAGCAGTCGAGTTCTCAACCACAGCTCCATATCAACCGTCTAAATGTGTTTAATAAGTACACACTATTTTTATTGTGGTTTTTTGCTTTGCGGTCATTATGCCAAATGTAAAACGTATTATAATTAGTAGTTCCATACAACAGACGTTTGATATAGGAGTTGTTTAGCTCGCCAGAGATTCCCAGCAGTTTTACGGCACATGGGTGACAGCTGTACACTAAATCCAGAACTGTTTTGTTAATACGTCATCGCTTCTAATATTTAGTACACCTACATACGCACAGGGAACGGCACTTCAAGCGAAACTAGTGTTTCTTAAGTAGTTGTATTAAGAACGAATTTGTCACACTCTGATGTGCCGACGACTGTACATTATATCCAAATCTAACATTACTTAATTAATTGGACTAAAAAACATTTGTTAAAGTTGAAATACAAGATTTAACATCAGATATTTCTACCTATTTATCTTATCTTTTTGATTATTGTAGTGTATTTATTACTTTTGCACAATTTTGACAATAATTCGATGGCTTTTTAATCTGAAGTACCTATATCAAATTACCCAATTTCTGCTCTACCTCAACAAACTCGATATTAAGTTACCCATAATTTTCCTTCCTTGTTCAACGATACATCCAAAAGCATTCATAAACAAAAGCAATATTCAGATGCTTTGGAGCGAGTCCAAAATCTGATATTTGGGTAGTGAAATATGTATGTCATAGTCGCAAATTGTAGTGATATATAAGGTGCCGAATTTAACCAGTAGGAATAATATTAATTGCAAACAAATATTTTGTGAAAGTACGATATGTGGCAATAACCTCGCATTCCATTATTCGCCAGACTATATTCTATGTGGAATGACTCCATTTCTCTGTGTAGCGTCCTATGACTGTAAGTGCAAAGCACTCCAACAATTTTGGCCTATTGCGATTCGACATGGAAAAGCCGGCACCAAAAACGTGTCATCTATGGAATATAGAAAGAAACCTAGCAAAGTAAAATACCCATGTTGTAGACGAGCTGCTGCAAGGTGTTTAGTTAAGGCTACAGACAGAGTTGGCTGCTGTTTATGCAATAAAATGTCACGACGAGACGAAACAAGTCATTTAAGTGAGGTACAGCTTGCGCTTCTTGAAGGCGCTCTTGAGATGCGGCGGTCAGAGGACTGTGCGCCTAGTGTCGGCTGTGGAGGGTTCAGAGTCGCGTACCTGCAGCGCCTTCAGCATGGGCACTTTGTCCAGCAGCTCCTCGTACAAGCGCTTCTTGAAGGCGCTCTTGAGATGCGGCGGTCAGAGGACTGTGCGCCTAGTGTCGGCTGTGGAGGGTTCAGAGTCGCGTATCTGCAGCGCCTTCAGCATGGGCACCTGGTCCAGCAGCTCCTCGTACAGGCGCATCTTGAAGCGCTCTTGAGATGCGGCGGTCAGAGGACTGTGCGCCTAGTGTCGGCTGTGGAGGGTTCAGAGTCGCGTACCTGCAGCGCCTTCAGCATGGGCACCTTATCCAGCAGCTCCTCGTACAGGCGCTTCTTGAAGGCGCTCTTGAGATGCGGCGGTCAGAGGACTGTGCGCCTAGTGTCGGCTGTGGAGGGTTCAGAGTCGCGTACCTGCAGCGCCTTCAGCATGGGCACCTTATCCAGCAGCTCCTCGTACAGGCGCTTCTTGAAGGCGCTCTTGAGATGCGGCGGTCAGAGGACTGTGCGCCTAGTGTCGGCTGTGGAGGGTTCAGAGTCGCGTATCTGCAGCGCCTTCAGCATGGGCACCTGGTCCAGCAGCTCCTCGTACAGGCGCATCTTGAAGCGCTCTTGAGATGCGGCGGTCAGAGGACTGTGCGCCTAGTGTCGGCTGTGGAGGGTTCAGAGTCGCGTACCTGCAGCGCCTTCAGCATGGGCACCTTGTCCAGCAGCTCCTCGTACGGGCGCTTCTTGAAGGCGTTCTTGAGACGCGGCGGTCAGAGGACTGTGCGCCTAGTGTCGGCTGTGGAGGGTTCAGAGTCGCATACCTGCAGCGCATTCAGCATGGGCACTTTGACCAGCAGCTCCTCGTACAGGCGCTTCTTGAAGCGCTCTTGAGATGCGGCGGTCAGAGGACTGTGCGCCTAGTGTCGGCTGTGGAGGGTTCAGAGTCGCGTACCTGCAGCGCCTTCAGCATGGGCACTTTGTCCAGGAGCTCTTCATACAGCTTGCGCTTCTTGAAGGCGCTCTTAAGCAGGATGCGGCGGAAGGTGTGGCGGTCCATGGCCCAAAGAGCGCCGGGCGTCTGGGCTCGCACCGAGGCCGCACGAGGCATGTTGTACATTAGCGCCAGCTCGCCGAAGGAGCCGGAGCCTTCGTACGTGTGCACCACCTGTGTAAATACATCTTATGTAGTTTTCAATAGACGCTATTTTGGAAGAACTATTGTTGTAATAGTCTGATTGGGTCGACTGTATCCCAACTAATATTATAAATGCGAAAGTAACTCTGTCTGTCTGTCTGTCTGTCTGTTACGCTTTCCCGCTTAAACCTCGCAACCGATTTTGATGAAATGACATTGGGAACTTTTTGCCCCACTTTTCGAAAAGTAGCGGACACAAATGAAACCTATCACAGATGATACATACTAATATCCAATGAATTTCCGTGCATTTTTTTTCTCTCTCTTATATGGGAATATTGAGAAAATGAAGTTTTAATATTTTATTTTATTTTACATTTAGGTAACATTTTTGACGACCTCCGTGGCGGAGAGGTGCACACACCGGTTTTCAAGGTGTGCCGGGCCAATCCTGAGGTCCCGGGTTCGATTCCCGGTCGGGACAATATGGAAAACGATATTTTCACATTGTCTCTGGTTTGGGTGTGTTGTGGTTCGTCGTTCCCGATTTCCATAACACAAATGCCTTAGCTACTTATTTTGGGTTGGAGTAATATATGAGATGTTGTCTAGTATTAATTTAAGTCTTGAGATGCGGCGGTCAGAGGACTGTGCGCCTAGTGTCGGCTGTGGAGGGTTCAGAGTCGCGTACCTGCAGCGCCTTCAGCATGGGCACTTTGTCCAGCAGCTCCTCGTACAGGCGCTTCTTGAAGGCGCTCTTGAGATGCGGCGGTCAAAGTACTGTGCGCCTAGTNTCGGTACTTCTTTCCCAATTCCATAAAATTCAAAACTTAGAAAGTGACAAAAAAACTTTAAAATAGGTAGTTGAAACAGACTACAGCTAATTTTCATAGTGGACTGTACCATACGATAAACATGTCAGTCAATTTGACAACCTTTGTCGGAAACATTATTCAATGAAAATATTGTCCGAGCCCTTAGTATTTCTCTTCGACAAATACATTAACACATCGTGAACCACTTTTCTTTCACGACTATAAAAATATTTTAGCAATTTTTCACAAAATCAATTGCACACATTTAAAAAAAAAAAAACATACGGGTCGAATTGAGAACCTCCTCCTTTTTTGAAGTCGGTTGAAAATAAAGTTTGTTTACACTTTGACAACAATAGACTGACATGCAAGGTGACATATCAATGAAGTTTTCAGTTACTGTTGCCATTAAAAGAAATTAGTACCATTAGTTTTCCGCAACATGGCGAGGGTTTTTATGTTCCTGGTCAGGCTATATGTATAAATATACAGCGAGATTAGACCCGCGACAATCGTTGTGCACATCAGTTCTTTTTAAAGCTAAGTTAAATGGGGCTAACCCCATTTCACCAATGCAGGGTAGCATAATCCCCTATGGCAGTATTTTTCAACCTTTTTCATGACACGACCCCCTAGTACGAAAAAAATATTGGCGACCCCCCGACCGTTCGCTTTTTTTTCATGTATTTTATAATGTTGCAAAGATGTTTGTAGGGACCGAATACTTTAATCCATACAACATTTGCATAATTAGATTTCGGATTAATCTGTCTTTATAAGATTTTTTTTTTTACTGAGGTAGTTTTTACGACCTGTCGCGACCCCCTTATAGAGGCTTCACCACAGGTTGAAAAATGCCTTATGGCATTACACATTCTTAAATTGAAACAAATTCTAACCATCTGAATCATAAATGCCAAAATACTGGTCAAAATTTAATAAATATTTTCATTTTATTTGAAAACAGCGTTTTAACTTACAAGCAGCTTTGGTGGGTCCCACGGCGTAAGCAGAAGCCGCGCGAGGCTTGTGAGTCACCAGCGCCAGCTCTCCGAAATAGCCTCCTTTGCCTGGAAAAAACAATTCAACGGTTAATTTTGTTCCCAGTTTTGTTTGGACATGGAATGAAATTGATTGTCAAAATGACGGAACATTTTCACTCAGATGATGTGAAGATGCTTATCACTAAAAATTGTCAGAATAGTGATCTGAGGCGGCGGTGTAAGCGGAAAGTTTCAACACAAGTTGCATCCCAGACTATGAGTTTGCCAATATTCCATCGGGTAAGATGCAGGCCATGCGCTTCCTCGTTGTGGATTAAAAAGTATAATTATGTGAGAGCGAGTCAGGTGAGGCACGTTCGCTGTTGTGGGAGCGAGACAGTTCAGTTTTAGAGCCCCTTGATTTCATTCTCGTTGCGGTCGACATTGTCGCCCTGCCGGATGATCAGCTCGCCGTCAGCTAGCGTGCGAGTGAGAGCGAGACAGTAGTTACCAAACCGCTTGATCTCATGCTCGTTACCGTGCGCGCTGTCTTCCTGCCGGGTGGTCAGTTAATCAGTTCGCCGTCAGTTAGCGTGCGAGTAAGAGCGAGGCAGTAGTTACCGAGCCGCTTGATCTCATTCTCGTTGCGTTCGGCATTGTCGCCCTGCCAGATGATCAGCTCGCCGTCAGCTAGCGTGCGAGTAAGAGCGAGACAGTAGTTACCGAGCCGCTTGATCTCGTGTTCGTTGCCGTCGTCGCGCGTGATGCGGATGCTGACGGAGCCGTCCTCCACGAAGTACATGCCGTCAGCGGTGTCGCCCTGCCGGATGATCAGCTCGCCGTCAGCTAGCGTGAGTGAGAGCGAGACAGTAGTTACCGAGCCGCTTGATCTCGTGCTCGTTGCCGTCGTCGCGCGTGATGCGGATGCTGACGGAGCCGTCCTCCACGAAGTTCATGCCGTCAGCGGTGTCGCCCTGCCGGATGATCAGCTCGCCGTCAGCTAGCGTGAGTGAGAGCGAGACAGTAGTTACCGAGCCGCTTGATCTCGTGCTCGTTGCCGTCGTCGCGCGTGATGCGGATGCTGACGGAGCCGTCCTCCACGAAGTACATGCCGTCAGCGGTGTCGCCCTGCCGGATGATCAGCTCGCCGTCGATCAGCGTGCGAGGCACCAGGGCGTCGGCCAGGTTGGCGCGCTCGTAAGGCTGTAACAAGAACAACGATTGTAACATCTTCATTTTTTTATAAGGAATCTTGTATAACCATCATCATCATTTGTAAATATTGTCCGTGTCATTGGCTTTTTCAGTTTGCCCGTAGAACATTGCGTAAAACTATTCTACTCTCAAAAATCAATAAAACTAACTAAATACGAGTACTAACTTAACATCCAATCAAAAAATTCATTGATTTTGGTAACAAAATACCAGAATTAAAAAAAAAACATCTTTATTTGGATCATTTTTAGTTACTTACAGATAACATTATCATTGCAAGTGGAAACGGAACGCAAATAAAGTGAGTAAAAGGGATTGTCTTTTGAATAACGGCGTACGACCATTACATGATAAGAATGAGAATTTTCTTTCTTTGCGCGGAAAACTAGGAAATACAGACACAGCTGTGAAAATAGCAAGTCTTTCAATTCCTGAATTACGCTCAAAGTTGCTCCTGTTATTCTAAAGCAAAAATAATATTTATTCGTACTCGGAAAGAATTCTATGCCAGGACAAACGGAGCCCCGAGACCAGACACATTCATAGTAAAAGTTAATCATAGATACATTAGCGAATTTTGTTAAAATAACCAAAACATTTTATTCCTGCATATTCTTTATCTACCAGCTCCGTTTTTAGGTAATCGTTCATGACGTGTCGAGGAAGATACTCGTCTAATGATAGGCTATTTTCAGATTCGCGAGGCGTCATCATCTCAGTGAGTCGCGTTACCAACTCGTCAGTGTGACGTAGTTACTATGATAAAAGATAACCGATAATTTGCCGGCCATCTCTCAGAAGGTCGAATTTATTATTCCTTGTCAATTTCCGCATAAAATGTCATGGTGTTACGCAGAGAAACCTCGTGAAATTCTCAAAAAAATGCTCGTAGCGACCCTAAAAGCTACTAACGCCCGTATTCAAAACGATGCTTGCTAAGTGAAGCAGCAAATCGAACGCACAGTTGAATAGAGCTCTGTGATTGGTTCGTGTGTCACCCTGTGCGTCCACGCGCACTGTGAGACCTCATAAGTAGTAATGTTTGTGAATACGGGCGATAGGCTCAAACTACACGCCACAGTAATAACTTATTAATAGGTAAATGAAAATATTGATATTGCCTGCAGTCTTGATCGTAGTTTATACGCCTACTCAAACTAAAGGCCAAACTTATTTCGGTCAATGGAATTCTAAATCATCCTACACCCAATCGTTCCGGAAAAATACTGTTTTAAACATAAATGGAAACTACACTATTTCTGGTTCAATATGTAAGTGCTTTGGTACATTAATGTTGCGTTTAATTCAGTTAAAAGAGGAAAGAGATCCAATTAAGCGTGTATGTGTATCGAGTTAATTAAATCCTGGGGTAACATGGATTTTAATTAATAAACGCCGCGATGACTGCATGCGTTCGTGACGCATTTAAAAGTGGCTAGATAATAGAATGGCGGTAACGCAATGGTGGCCAAATTAGAGATAAAGTTTTATATTTTTGCAGATTGAGTGGGACAAATGATGATGAATACCTAGTTTAGAATGAGACAGCATTTAATTCTCACCTCTGCTATTTAGTGTGATAGTTACGTAGAATCTAAAAGATAATTACAATATTTATCATTCACTTGCTGTTGTGGACCATGTCTATTCATAAATACGATAAAATTATTATGAATACATATTATCTCATATTAATTCTTAATACACAAATGTGTGATCCACGCGTGAATTTATCGTGAAGTGGCCAAAGTTTAACATACATAACTGCTAAATAAAAATACGATATAAGACCGCGTTGACATATTTTTACAGACTATCTGTAACCAATTGAAGGTTAATTACTTAATTGAGTAACATATTTATTTACCTACAATGTCATAAGAATACTTTGAGACTATACATACATTGGTATTGTAGGCATCTGTGCCATACTATACAAGAGATACTTATAAAATATACAACATACATAGTTTAGGTGGAAGTATAAAGATAGTGACTTTTCTAAGCCGCTTATTGG